AACTACAAGCCTGAATGCTTTGATACTTGGTGTATATGTACCTTGGGTAGACCTCTCAGGTTTGTTCATTTCATGATGATATCTACAATTCTCTAATTTTGGTGAATATTTTTGTAATTTTCGGTAAAAAGTGATATTTTCGACTTCTCGTTAAAAACTGCATGTCCAATTGCTTTTATCTTGCATATATAGGTACTACATGTGGACCTCTCTCAGATTTGTTCATTTTGTGATGATATCTTCAATTATCCAATTTTGGTGATTATTTTTGTCATCTTTTTATATATATTGTTCATTTTCTAATGATATTTTCAGTTCTTTAATTGAAATGTGCATTGCTAACAGCGAAGCTATCTCAGCCGACAGGCTGCTTGTTTTATTATGCCAATTAGTTTGTGACAGTCATACTATTAGGATATTTGTCTGATCTGATTGATTAGTGTTTTGGTACTAATTTGAGCATATTTTTTTTTAATTTTGGATTTATTCTTTCCTGAATATTTCTTGACTCGGTCAGTAGTCAGATTTGAATGAACTCCGCAGTATGGAACAGTTCACAGGTCTCATTTGCTTTAGGTATGCATATTAATTTGTTCATCATATATCCCTTCTGTTGACACACTTGTACCAACAACTATATGCAATACACCATGGAGGTAAATGTAAAATGACGCAAAATATAAATTCAGTTCATGTTGCATGTACCTCTGAATGCTACTAGTATTTTGGCTAGTACATTCATAAAACCTTGTGATATTGCAGGACATATCAAAATTTCTTGAATTACATGTTGCCTACGTTTGTATATTTCTATTGCATCATGGATAATATATATAAATATTACTAAAGTAAATTGTCAGAATAAAACTTTTCATGCGACTCCTGTGTGCAAAGTACACTAAGTGTATCTGTTCCACCGATATCAAAAACACTTTTAGCTGTTCCATGACTGTTCTTCTGATATTGCTCAATGGATTTTGCTGAAACTTTGTGCATAGATCATCCTGTTGGACATGTGTGTTCCTGATTAGTTTTGGGTAAAATTTCATACATAATGATTACGGTAGTGTGTTTTCTGCTGATTTCAATTACTAATCATTACATTTCAATGACACTTGGTAGACAGATGGTCCGTGACACTGCATAGACCATATTATTTTCATATTAAAATGTGCATATAATAATCCAATTTGCATATTAGTCAGTTTTCAGCTTTTCATCAGTATCTCATTAGTACTTTTTTGAGAATTTAATCAACACAATGTAATGAACTTGATACATATGTGCACAAGAACAATACACACTGCTATGTGTTTGCAATCAAGGTTGCAATGAAACGGTAATTGTTTGGCAAATCCGTCAATTTTAGACAGGGGCATTCTTGATGACTAAGCCGGCAATGTTGATTTTTCAGAGGAGTATTTAATCTTAGCATTGTTGTGTTGAATTGTACATGTGTCTATAGTTTCCCAAATTATCTTCCACATACAATAGATAGAATGGAAATGTATATAAATATCAGGCAATAGTTTGATTTTGGTTTTCATGACAATGCCCAGACATTTTAGCCTGGTAGTAATCCCACTCTTTCATCCAAGGAAGTTAACAGAGGTCAGAGGCCCCAAAAGTGACTGCCTTTTTTTTCAAACTCCTGATAATTGGAGGCAATTGATAATGTTTTTTTGGGGAGGAAATTGCAATTTGTATACCATATTTTATATTACAATAAGTAAACGAAACACAAACGTTTAAAATTAAACGTTGCATTAAACGTTGTGATAAATCATTCGGCCTGCCCAGACATTGATCTCCTGATTAGATCACTCAGCAAGTGTATCAAATACGGTGCATGGTTTGAAGCGTATCAAAACAGTTTAAAAAATATTTAAAATCTCATACACCATGCTTATGAGTTGGAATGGAGAGAATGTGTATAATGCCAAGCCCTGTCCACCAAAATGAATGTTGACTGATGATGCTCTGCGATCTGAATGGATATATAAACTAGGGTACATTGTACTTTGGTGTTCAGACAGACAACTAAATTTGAAGGATTCATCCCCCCCCCCAAAAAAAAACATGACCATAATCTTATGTCAATATATCATTAACTATAATTATGCATGTGAAATGGGAACTTGTTTAAGATGCTGAAGGCTGTCAGAATACACAAGACGAGAACACGTTATTTCGATAACTGGACGTCCTTCAGTGACAATGATGCAACGCTTGCAACAAAGCGACAGACATCCCTCTATTCACTATACCGTACCCTCCATACATATTCCGGGCAAGGCATTAATCAATGGGTTTCATCAGTCCCTCTATTATGGTGGCCAACAAGTGACAACATATAATTAATTCATCGCTGCAAAACTATTATTTCATGGCAAAAATCGGGAATTGAGAAGAGAAACTTTGTTTGGTGCCCCTAATATATAATCTATCTAAGCACTGGGCTGAATCCTTCATATCACAAAATAATTGAGATTGGGAGACATTTGAAACTTTGGTTGCGATATTGCATTACATTGTGTTTTATCGCCGAGGAAAATAGTCTTGTCCCTTGGTTATTACACAGGGACTGTGGTTATTACAGGTATCACTGATTTTTCTTTGCCAAATTTTAGTTCCTGGGCGCCTCTAATAAATAACCCATCCCATTTTTGGCCTAGACTATTTTTCGCTCGAAAGGCAAAAGCGATAACGACTTGATTTTGGATTGAAAATTTTCTTTTGTTTCAATTGTTTGTATGCCTAGAAACATGACAACGTTTTGTTTGGTGAATATATAACATGTTCCGTTTCATTTACATTTTCTGTACGCTAAAATTTTGCAATGCCACTTGCCCAAGATGAACTTTCTGTTCGCATGTGTTGAATGTTAACGTCACTCCACATAAAAAAAAAATCTGCTTTTAGTGTTCATTTCTATGCAATGTAAAATCATATCGCTGCTGTGGGCGGCGACAGGTGACGATTGTTTTGGTTCTTTGGCTCTCATGGTACGGGCAACTGACTTACTGATTTTTTTTTAACTATTCCAACTGTTCTGGGCTGTATATAACGGTCAGACAATGACAAGTAAGTA